TTTATTTATTCATTTATATTTTTGTGTGTGTGTGGCCAGCTCAGCCCACCAGGGGGCGGGGCTGGCTGGCATGTGGTGCTGGGGGATTGAACCGTGATCCCTGTGCTTTGCTTAGCTTAGCTTGTTCTAAGTAGGTGCTTTAGACCACTGAGCCATCTCACCAGCCCCATGATTGGTTTCTTAAGCTTTCTGGGTAAAGAGGACAGTGTCTCTCAAGGGTTGCACAAGTAAACCCTTCGTACCTTTGATGTGAGGTCCCGATGGAAAATGCCTTTCAAGTGAAGGTAGCTGAGGCCCACTGCTATGTCATAGGCCAGTTTCACCCTCACAGTCCAAGGCAAGTGCAGGTTGCTGTCCAGCAACTGCTCCAGGTTCCCAGAGTTGATATACTGCAAAACACAAGGAAAAGCCAGTTACTATCTCAGAAATAATTAGACTGATGGTAAAACCACCAGAGAGTAAACACCTAGAAAATAGAGATGATATACTTAGGTTTTTTTTCTTTTGTAGTACTGGGGATTGAATCCAGATCCATCACATTAAGCTATATCTCCAGCCTTTTTTTTTTTTCTTTTCTGAAACAAGTTCTTGTTAAATCACTGGGTTACTTTGCTGGGCTTAAACTTGCAGTCCTCTGGCCTCAGCCTTCCAGAGTGCTGGGATTGTAGGTGTTCCCTATCACACCTGACCCTTTTTAGTGTGCTTCATAAGTTACAAGGGCTTACCCTGAATACAAGCACTTGTAGGTACTTATGCACAAAGATACCTTCCTCTGAAGGATAACGGTCTAAGAAGGGATACAGACAAACAACATTGTGGTAAAACTAAAATGCAGCTTATGAAAAGATATGACTGCATTGTGAAATGCTGAGGACAAAGTTCCTTACTTTCAGCATGTCAGGGAAAATAAAGGAGTCGGGAAGGATGACCCGGAATAGTGATGGCAAGCCTTTTAGAGACAAAAGCCCAAAGTGCAACCCCAAACCCACTTATTTATCACAAAGCACCAACACTGCAATTAAACCTGAATAGTACAATGTATTGATTATCGAAATTTTCCTATTATTCAGCTTTGAAGCTGTCTAATTCATATTTATTTCTCAATAAAAAAATAAATAAACCTGAATAGTTTTAGTTTTGGAAAAAAAAAACCTCATACATTAATATCTTTTGTCTTAAAGGAAAAATAACATGCCAACCATACAGTCCCACAGAGGGAGCAGTATGTGCACTTACAGCATTCAGGAACTTTATTTATTTAATATGGCTATGATATATGGATATGGAGACAGGAAGTGAGGCTGATATGGCTTGTTAAAATATGGACTTAGCTGGGCATGGTGGCACACACCTATCTCGGTGCCTGGGAGGCTGATGCAAAAGGATCAAGGATCACTGTGAGTTGGAGGCCAACCTGGGCTCCATAGCAAGACCCTGTCTCAAAAATAATAATAAATGATAAAAATAGATATGGACTTTATCCTGACTCTAGGGAACAAAAGAAGCATTTTAAGCACTGAAGCACATATTTGACATTAAATTTTTTTTAATGACATTAAGTTTTTTCATATTTGACATTAGCACCTGCCTGGCAAGGGCAAGGTCCTGAGTTTGATCCTTGGCACCACAAAAAAAAAAAAAAAAAAAAAAAAAAAGCTTATGGGAAGAAGGCAAGATTCAAATGTATTTAGAGGGCAGAGTAAAACAAACCTGACGACTGCAATGGGTTGAGAGCTGGAACAGTGGGAAAGTCTAGGATGACCCCAGGCCACTGGTTTCTGGGTGCCATCATTAAATATCTATGAGATAGGAAAAGGAGCAGATTTTTATACTTGATCTTAGCCAAAAGGCTGTGAAGCAATGGGAGGAGCAGGTTCTAGAAGAGTAGCACGAGAAGGTAGTGAGGTCAGCTAGGGCACACTGAATTACAGTACTTGGAGGACAACTAAGCTTTAGCAGACAAAACTCTTAACAAGCTTAAAGTTTAGGAACAGTGTGTGGGCAACATACTATATTTAGGAGGTGTCTCAGTTACTTTTCTCTTGTTGCTGGGACAAAATACCTGACACTCAAAATTAAGGAAGGAAAGGCTTATTTAGCTAACAGTTAGTGGCAGTTTCAGTCCATACTCTACTGGCTACAAGGCAGAGTACCACAAGGCAGAGGGCAACAACTCATGACAGCAGAAAACAGCAGACAGCAAAGGGAGGGGCAGCAGGGTTAGCTACTTAGCCTCTTTCCCCTTCTTACATTTGTATGCAGATTATTGTAACACATCCATAATCCTAGCATTAGATCAAGAATTAATCACATTATCTATTTTTATCTGTGAAATCTGTTGCTCAGATTAACAGATATAGTTATGCAAGATTGGACAAATAACTGAAATTAACACTTGCTTTCAAGAAATCTTAATTTTTCCTTGTCTTTTTAAAAATTTTATTTAAAAGAGAGTATAATAATTGATAAGACATTAGAAATGTTACACATTAAAAAAAAAGAAACAATACACATTTAGAAGACCAAGATGAGAGGTATTCAACCATGGGTTTTGTATTACACATTGCTGTCCTCGATGTAACTGCTTGATTTGTAGATATCAGCATACAGAGTTGTCATTGTTAACTAGCTATTCCTGCCTTGAAAATCTGTATCATATGCATTGTTACCCTGTGTCTGTCTTTTTTTCTATTTTTTTTTTTTTTGGCTTCTGTTTTTACTCTTCAAAATAAAATAAAATAGAATTTTAAAGAAGAATCACAAACTTTAGAAGCCATCCCATGACTGCTTGAGGCTTTGGGGGAACAACAGACACAAGCCATAACAGGAAGCAACAACACTGAGCTAAAGGAGTCACTGTTGCCAAGTAATACAGAAAATGCCAGGAGTTAAGACGTAAGGTAAGAGATCAAAACCCCAAAGAGCAGTAAAACTATAAGAGAAAGGCAGAAGAAAAATCAAGGAAGTCACTGCAAAAAGTAAAGAGGAATATTCTAACAAGGAAATGACCAGCAGCATCAAATTCGACAGATCAAGTGAGATGTGGTTGAAAATGTCCTCTGAATTTTCATTAGAAAGTCATTGGCCAGAGCAGTTTTGGTAAAGTAGTTGAGACCAGCGTTGAGACTGACGTGAACTGCAGAGTGAATAAAAGATAATGCTGGGAGAAAGACAACATGAAGACATAGTCTTCCAAGGAATGTGGTAGTGTGTTGTTCCTATACACCCATAAAGCACTCATTGCTTTATTTAAAGTGTAAATATTTACATATCAACAATGATAATAGAAGCTTTACAGCTTCTGTAAAACTACTTTTACAGCTAATACATGTATTTACATAGTGCTTATAGGAGATGTAGCTCAGTGGCACAGTACCTGCCTGGCAAATGCAAACTCCTGAGTTTGATTCCCAGTACCTCCCGCGGAAAAGAAAAAAAAAAACAAACCTACAAAGTGTTTATATTGTGCTAGGCACTAGTCTAAGCATTTTATGTACATTATCTCATCTATCTTTCTTTCTTTCTTTCTTTGTTTTTTCAGAACCGGGGATTGAACTCAGGCCCTTGCGCTTGCCAGGGAAGCACTTATTCTACTGAGCCATCTCCCCAGCCCCTCATTATCTCATTTAATCTGTATAGTAACTTTATGAGGTAGGTGCACTGCAGGTTGAATATCCGGTATCTGAAATGCTTGGGACCAGAAGAGATTGATTGATTGATTGATTGATTGATTGATTGATTGATTGATTTTTTATATATATTTACTTTTATTGAGAAATAAATATGAATGAGACAGTTTCAGAGCTAATTAATAGGACAGTTTTGATAGTCAATACACTGACTATACACTGTATCTTCTTAGTGGTTATCCATAGTACAAGAAGCAGATAGGATATTCTGTCCAAACACTGTTAGTACACCTCTTTCTTCTCATTGAGTTAAGCGAAAGTAGCTGTAAATTTATCCTAACCCAGAAGAGTTTTAGATTACAGAGTATTTTCTAATTTTGGTACTCTGATTTTATAGAAAGAATTTAAAAATTAAGTATTTTTCTCAAACATGCTCAATTAATAGGTGGCAGATAAAGGCAGACAATACAGTCTGGCTATAGTCAGACTTAACTATAATGCACTAAACACCACAGCGACTAAGTCAGATAGCCTCATGAAAAAAGGAACTCAAATTTCTCTAAGTATAAAATTAACAACAGATGGGCATAGTGGCGCATGCCTGTAATCCCAGAGCTCAGGAGGCTGAGGGAGGAGGATTGTTGAGTCCAAGGCTAGCCTGGGCTACAAAGTGAGTTCAAGGCCAGCCTGAACTGCATAGTGAGACACTGTCTAAAAAAGACAAAAGATAATAAAATAAAATAAATCTCAATACATTTTAGGGAGAGGTATTGAATTTAGAAAGCACCAGGACATCTAACAGAATAAGATGCAAGAATTTGAATTATAGTCCAATTTTGCCTCCTATTAACCATTTAACTATGGACAAATCAACTGAGGATATTATACATTATTCAGTTTTCCCATCTATCAGTTAAATATAATAATCCTTGATCTGCCTAACTCACAATGCTATTGTAGGAATCTAAGAAAATACATTGAAAGTGCTCTGAACAAAACTTTCTGTCCTTTGAGGTGAGATTTTCTCACTTGGTAGCAAAAGTGCCAGACAGTACCAGTTGGGGGCAGCACTATGCAGCACATCAGATCCCTTTATAAGGCAGATGAGGTTTGGTGAGGCAGAGAGAATACCTAAAAATATACTTTTTAACTTCTAAAAGAGAAACCTGTTGATTTACTTCATTATTTGATAATCCACCTTTGGAAATCTCAAAATAGTCCATAGTGAAAGCAGTACCACAATGCCCTCTTTTAATTCTATTTAAATCTGCCCAAAATTTCACACTTGATGTGTCTACTTGCTGAAAAGAAACTGAACTTGCAAACTCCAAGCTACGTGGGACACCAAAGCCACCCTCTACCAGGCAGGCAAATTTCTTTTTTCTTGTTTTTGTGGCTGGCTCAACCCACCTTGGGGGTGGGACTGGAATGGCATGCGGTTCTGGGGATCGAACTGCAGTCCCTGTGCCCTTGTATAAGCTTGCCTAAGCAGGCGCTTTAGATCACTGAGCTATCTCGTCGGCTCACAAATTTCTTTTTTTGACAGGGCTTTTTTTTTTTTAAATGTATTTAATGCAGGATCTACACAGATCAGACTCGTAGTGATCCTTCTGTTTTTCAGCCTCCCAAGTGCTGGGATTATAGGCATGCGCCACCACACTTAGTCTCAATCACTGGCTCAGCACACCCTGGGGTTGGATTCCCTCTGCTGTGCGGAAGCAGGCACTTTAACAGGCTGAGCTATCTGGCTGGCCCTGGGT